AACATATTGGTATCAGAAGCATAATAATATGTTCTTAGAAATCCATGTCAGTTTTATATCTCCGCTTCGTTTTTGTTGCGTGTCTTTATCGCTTTTCTAGTTGTGTGTTAAAGGCTTTAAATTAGCCAATTGACAACTGTTTGGGTTTGTAATGACGTCCATGAGCTATGGATTGCATCATTTACACAACCAGAGATCTTCGATGGATAACGTCATATGGACATTTAGCAGAAATGTGGAAATATGAAGTTTAATTAATCAAATATTAAAATGTCCAATAGCGTTATTAAAGTTCAATAATTATTAATTACTTGATAACAAAAAAAATAATAATTTTAAAGTTCATATATCTTACTAATATTATTAATGCGAATGGAAGGATGCTTGACTACTAATTATTATTTTTTTGATTCGCGGATGGAGTCGCAGGCGACAGTTAGTCTAAAAAATTGATATGCATGGATGTTGAAAACCTTAAAAGATTATTAATAATAATAATAAATAAGACATTTCTAATAGTTGAAAATAACTTGAAATAAATCAAATCACATAAGTAACTTCAAAATTGTTTGTCTATATTTTCTCTCAATAATTTACACCGAGTTTTATATATTTTGGTAGTTCTGTCCATATTGAAATGTAAGAAACCTAATCTACGTACCCATATAATATATAAACAGGAAAAAACCCAAGGTATCAAGCTATAGTGTGACTTAAGACTTACGTCATAGACAACCTGACTGTCATAAATTGTCGTTTTATGAACGCAACAAAGAACTGACCAAAGGTCCAATTAACACTGGGTCTAGAATTATTAATATAAAGCCGTCGCGCGGAATTAAAAAAAACATATTTACTAGATTATGTCTTATTCCAGATTATGTTCTATATGTATGCTACATTTCATCGAGATCCGTTCAGCTCTTCTAGAGCAACCTTCAAATAAACATCCAACCATCCATCTAAACATTCGCATTTATTATATTAGTAAGATGTAAGATTTTTCTCAATATATACGTATCATCATCAGCTCACTATACGTCCCCACCAAGGGGCTCGGAGCCTACCCTAAGTTAAGGGTGATTAGGCCATAGTATATATATAATTAAATATATATATGAAATATAATTTCAATTAACGTTTCTAAAAATGCAAATTTTAATAACATTAAAATTGTTTTAACCATTTTGTAAAAGAACTTCTTTCACGAACTTTATCATTATTAAAAGTCAATTTCTCTCTATGACTAAACTAACCATGTGTTTCTGACACCAACATCTCTTTATAAAACATCAATAATCTTTGACAAAACAGTGTTGACGATATGTTTGGCCTCAGAAACACACGGTAAGAGAAATAAGAAATGTAAATCGAAAGTTATGAAATAATCAAATGAGACATATCATATCGAATGCGAGTGACTGAGAAAACTATATACCGCTCTTAAGACTTTAAAGTATTGCGCATGCGCATCATTTAGTTCATTTCTGATGTTTATTATATTTTTAAGGAAATCTAGCCATGGCATGCAGTTTCACTTATTTGATTCTTATTTTTGATATTGCTGGCAACTTAATTCCGCGTGTAATCATTAGAAAATTTTGATTTTGAAATGTCAAAATATCATTCTAGAAACCTTATACCTTATTCTGTATATTTTAAATCAAAATTTTTATCATAAATATTATATTAATTAACTAGATTATATAATCGAACGGAATAATATTAAAGGTATCGCTTTTACGTGTCTTCTGTTATATTAAAAGTATATTTGATACGGGTGAAAGTTTCTTCATATGTCATGGCGCATGCGCAACTTTTAGTCAATGCAGCGTCTCTTTAAGTTTAAACTTTATAATAGAAATACAAAAACTTGACTACGCTTTACCACAGATTAAATGTATTCTTCGTCATTTTATAATCTAATCTCTAAAAAAATATCTATTTTTATATCATCATCAGCGAACTATACATCCCCACTGAGAGGCTCGGAACCTACCCTAAGAGATGACTAGGTCAACCACGCTTGCCCAGTGCGGGATGACTTCACACAAATCTTTGAATTTCTTCACAGATATGTTCAGGTTACATCACGATGTTTACCGTAAAAACGTCGGATAAATGTAAATATGTAAATCATAAATCGAAAAACACTAATAAATAGTGGGTCGAACCTAGGATTTGTGCATGTCAAGTGCTTTAACCTCTGAGCCACTGGCACTTTACATATGATTCTCATATACTATAAATGAACAATGGATATGTAAATAATTAAACAATGACACAATAGTATTAAATTAAATTAGTACTAAATATAACTAGCATTTAATTTTTTACAGACAAAAAGAATTAAACGCGTCCATTCTCCAAGACCCTGACTTAATCACTGAGTGAAATCAAAAAAAATTGTATATTGTCTTGTTTATTGTTTCATAATTTCAAGGTTTTAATTTGAAGTTTATATTTAACTCTCTACAGACCTTCTATGTTATTAAATTATCATATCTATACATCTGACAGCAATTACCGCCATCTTGGATTAATTCAAAGTATGGTCATTATTTTTTATCTGTACCTTTTCGACATAAAAATAATAAAGACTTCTGTATCCTGATTGAAAGGATGATGATTTTTTCGCGGGCAATTATGTCACTGGCAAATATACACCGCCAATAGTAAATTGTCTAGGCAAATCATTATGACACGGCAAATTGCCTTTAAAAAGAATTCATTTAAAAATTGACGTATTATATTTTGACGTTTAATAAATGTGATTTCATTGATTTAACGTTTTTTATTTTTTACACATTAATTGTCAGTCTATGTTCACAAAGTAAATTCGATATGCAATTTGTTCTGTAAGATTTTTCTAGGCAAATAACAAACTAACGGCGTACTTGATTTACCCGTAACATATATATTCGTACCAATCGCAGGTTTGGCTGATTTTATCCATTGGATTCTTATTCTTATTTAGATCATAAGTCAAGTCTAAGTATAGGCTACTTAATAACTAAGCTAGACCTTTAGATACAGTCGAACAAATATAAGCGGGAGTCTAAAGGATAGCGTTAATTTTCTCGTACATAGAGGTCTCTGTAACTCGAGTTTTTCGCTTATGGAGGTCCTCCGTCAAGATCGTACAATGACTCTCGCTTAGAAATCACTTATCCAGGTTTTACTGTAAATAAACGCGATCAGCTTAAGGAAAATAGCTAGTTGTGATAATAAAAATGCTTTATCATCATGGCCGTAGCAAAACGTGATTGACTGAATATTTATTACTTTTGTTGAAAAACACATCACAGACTTGTAACACTTAGTACAAGCCTATCTTTAACTCTAGGTTCTACTAATGAAATGCCTTAACTATAACCTAACTTTTTTAAATAACTAAAAACCCGACTGAGGCTGTAATGGGTGAAATAGCGCCATCTATTGACTACATTTTAAAACAAAAAAAAAAATATAAAAACAAGTCTAAAATAAAAAAATATATGTAATGTTAAAAATGCAATACTTTCTTAGTATCGAATATACTCGAAAACATAAAAAAATGATTTACAAATGCTCCCTTATTATTTTTTTCTTATATATTTTATGTCGAAGTATGTTTTCCATATTTGCTGAAAACAGGAACTGCGATGGTAGCGCCTCTCACTGGATCAAATAAAATAGTCACTACACTTAAATATTATATTAGTAACAATACTAAGTGTCGCCCGCGACTACATCCAAGCGAAAGAAAAAAAAAACTTAATTAAGCCTATGTGTTCTTCCAGATGTTTTACATCTATGCCAAATTTCAGCGACATCGATGTAGCCGTTCTGGAGATACCTTCTCACTAACATCCATCTAAACATTCGTATATATAATATTAGTAACATAACTTGTCTCTTTCAGGCTTAATATATTCCTTTTAATAATCATTGCTTATATTTTTACGCATAATCATTAATGAAAGTGCAAGAAATCATTTCTGCTGTAATTATTAGAAAATCAATTTTAGTTAATCACCGAATGACGCAGCCATTAACGGTTACATATCTTTTACCAATTTAAAAATAATTAGAAATCATTTTCTTTCATATAAAAGATAAAATAGACTAACTGATGCTCGCGGCTTCAAATGATCGGAATAAAAAAATCTAGTAATAAAGTCACACGGAAATAATATAACTTCCCAACAGTAAAGGAATTATTCAAATCTTATCTGTAGTTTTGGAGCCTATTCAATGCGAACAAACAAAAAATAAATGAAATCTTTACAATATTAGTATAGATATACGCAAATAATAAACTTACGCCCAGTTTACATAATTCCAGTCCAGCAATATAATCCTGTGCTGGGTTACAGTTAGAATCAATTGCTGTACTGGAATCATGCAAATTGGGCGTTATATACTGCCACTACTTCATCATCAGCTCAATATGCGTCCCCACTGAGGAGCTCGAAGCCAACCCTGAGTCACGGATGACTAGGCCATAGTCTACCACGTTACTACTTAGTCTATGTAAATAGAAAAATTCTGAAATCGCTATTTGTTTTGAATTTGGTGCATGCGGCAGGTGTATATTTTATCATATCATGAATCTTATAAGCTTATTGGTATAGGGAAAATGTTTGTTTGTTTGTTTCAACTAACACATTTGAATATTTCTTTTCATTGTTGGGATTCAATAACCCCGGGTGACATTATTCCTACATTTCTTTAATTCCGAGCAGACGAAGTCGCAGGCAAATAATAGTACTTATTGCGGAAAATATTCTACAGTTACTTTCCGACAATAGTAAATTAATAATACTTACAACTATCTTAATATTAACTTAATCACAAATATTTGCTTTCTAATCAATCTTGTCAACCAAACACATCGTATTAGTACTATTTATTTAGTAAAGTTTAAGTAGACTTTAAGTTAAGATTGATTGACATTTAATGGACCGTTTGACTGATAGTAAGGTCGTAAAATGTAACATGATTTACTTAATTCTTACCTGGTTAGTGTGAACATCAATAACGATGTAAGCTAAATAGACAATTTCCTCTTCATCTGAACCGAGAGCAGCGCCAGCAAGGCCCGCCGTCCGCACGTGCAGGGCGCACACCCAGCCCCCGCTGATCATCGCGCCATACACTAAGACGGCACAGAGTAACACAACCCACCTTCCCCCTTCACCAGTCCATCCAGTACGCACAAAATCAGTCGCAGAGACTTCACCTATGCATACTAATACACGCTAACGGTACAGTCGACTCTAAGCGTTCTATGTTCCCTGTTTCGACAAAAATCACTTGAAAATCCGACGTTTTAACTTAACCGACGCAATAAGTCGCGTGCGGCGCAAACCGACAATTTACCGCTACTTCGTCTACGTAAGCCGTTTCCGACTGCAAGTGAAAATCTTAAGGAATTAAAACGTATCACAACAGGTACACGACTAAATTCATTGCCGAAAGTTAACTCTTGATAGGTGTCAATGTACCGAACGAATATTTTCACATCCAAGAAAAACTTTTAAAAGTTTTCATTTTCTTAACACTGTTACTACGAATCTGTACTGATGTTTATAACTATAATGTTTATAATATGTTGAATTAAATATATAAAAATTTAAAGACACGAAAAGACATGCGTGTCGTTTCGGTACGATGGGATTGAATCGACTGAATGCCGCGCCGCCGCCGCGTCTTTCCCCTCTGTTGTCACTGCGCAGGTAAACCAGGTGAGCGGGCGCGGCGTTGCCACACCGTGCATTATCATCGATGATGAGATAGCCTACCATTGAATTTTACGCATCGCTGCCAACACAATAAAAATACCGAAAAAATTAACTCGTTCCTTTACCATTCGAAAACAATTCTTGTAAATCTTCAATTATAATTAAAGATTTTTAAGTGTTATTATAAACTTATTTTATTAATTTATTATTATTAACAATTAGTTAATAATCAGATAATTTTACTTTCAAGTGCTTTTAAATTAATGAAATAAAACCTATAGATATAAATGTTTATATTTTAATCCAGTGGAAACTTCAGGAGATTCAAAAAGTAATTGATTATTTCAAGTAAGTATTGTTCCTCTAGAATATCATAATTACCAAACACTTTTCATAACAGACCCATAATAAAACTTGTTTCCATACTACCCACTACATTGGAAAAAAAGGGTTTTTTTTCTTTCGAGGTACGGAATCCTAAAAAAAACTGTTTTAAATCTCTGAAACATTGCCCTTCTCATCATCAACCTGGCCTTATACCTATTGGTCGGCACAGTATGTACTACTCCTCCATACATCTCTATCAGCCGTCATATCCGAATCTACCCCCTTCCTACGCATATCCTCTTTCACACAGACATTCCATACTTTTTTTGGTCTTCCCCTACCCTTGTAGCCATCCACATTCAATCTCATTCCTTTTTTGCTTAAATCATCATCATCCCTTCGCATAACATGTCCAAACCACGCTAATCTTTTACCCCTCAATTTCTCGATCACAAGCTTTCAAACTTCCAAAAAAAAACGTGATAACATTTAAATAAAATAAACCTCATATTTTATATCACTCAAATCGTATTTACTATCTGTTGCCCGCAATTCGGAATTAAAAAAAGAAACTTTATTAGTAGCCTGTGTTCTTTCAGACTATTTTATGTATGTATGCCAAAGTTCAGCGAGATCGATGCAACCGGTCTGGAGATACCTTCTTAAAAACATCCATCCATCCAAACATTCGCATTTATAGTATTAGTAAGACAAACTATAGCAGTGCTAGTAGTAGTTACTTACGGTTAATAAGTGTTGAACAGTTTTTTGTAGAAACTACGTTTAACGATTTTTTTATTCTCATTTTAAGAAATGTTAAGAATTTTTGCGACAAATATAATTAACGGTAAATTAAAAAGCATGTTACAATTACGAATGAATATAACGCGGTTGTTTAACTTTTAAAAAAGTTGATTCCAATCTGATACTGATAGTTTGCATACTCACCTTGGGTTTCCATTGCTGAAAACTGTAAACAAAAATATATCGTTGTTGTTGTTGTTTTTATTATTCACTCGAAAGAGCAGGCAAAGGAACTAAGCCATACAGCCTTGTCTTTTTTATTTTGAATATAGAGAATTTTATAATGTATAGGCCGCAGCCAAGTCTTATTTTTCTTCCTTCCATCTCTTCAAAATCCTATACATCGTCATGCCTTTGACTCTTTAAAAAAAAAACAATATTTTTCTGTAAATATAAAGAGGCATTTTTCTTTTTAAAAACGTCACCGTGAGAAAATATAAAATCTATTTCTATTAATTATGATGTCTGTGGCAGGTTTCTTTGCAACGAATTTAAAAAGTAAATTAGGTTTTTTTTATTAATGTTACCTTGTCTGTGGCATCAGTGACGTCTTTGCCACGGTCCATGACCAGCAACAGTCGGAACCCATTGTTTAAATAACCTTTGATTATTTTTAGTATATTTTAATTATAATATTAATACAATTCATATTATTTTAACTTATTCGTGGTTTGGCAAATATCCTAAGAAATATCTGAAGTAGTTCTATATCCATGTGATGACTGTTGTAAAGGTAAAAAAACATAAACGAACGCTATTCAGATTTTTTGAATTAAGGTTTCAAATAAAAACAAAACAAAATATCTGATTTGTGTTGCCAGCATGTGTAAAAAAATAATAAAGGCTTTTTAACGTAAAAAATTGGTAAAACAGCAAGCGGCCACCTAAATTCGCCAAAATAGCGAAGCAACCAATGCCCATAGACACCTACAATTGCAGGTGCGATGCTTACCTTTAATCACAGATAGTAGTAGTAGAATATTCCCCCTTCCAGTTATTTTCCAATAAGAAAAGGGTGGGAAGGAAACATGAATTAAAATTAGGCCTCGAGGACAACCTCAGGGAAAATTAATGTCGCCGAAAATACGTTAACTTATGAACGTTCGTTAGCTTATAAAAAAAACTAGCTACTAAATAATCAACAGATACTTAACAAATTGTAAAAAAGTCATATTTTGTTAATATCAGAAAATTAACAAAAAACAATAATATATTCTCAAAATTGACAAAAGCTAACGACTGCAACATATTAATAACAGCGTACACCTCCTTTAAAAGCCGGCAACGGTTCCTCTGGCGTTGCGAATGTCCATGGGCATCGGATCAAATAATTTTAGGTTATCCATTGCTCTTTTGTCCCCTTCTCCTATATAAAAAATATAAGGTCAATGAACTATACGCTTTGGCGCGAATCCTATTTGTTACTATGTGAGTAAAAGCTCGCTCATTTACATATTATGATAAAAAAACATATTCCAGTCTGAGGTCTGTCCATTTCGATAACTTTAAAGGTATTTAATGGATTTTGATTCAGTGATTTCCAAACAAATAGTCGTTAACATTAAGAGAGGTAACTTCAATTATTTCTTTATTTATTAATTTATTTTTTAAATAACAGACTAAATTTAACCACAACATATATTATAGTAACTACGAGTACCTAAACACCTCAAGGCCAAGCGATTGGAGCACCGCTTATTTCTGCAGAACGCGAGTTCTATCCCTGAATAAATTAAATATAATTTTAACTTTTTTAAGTCATATTTCTTTACATTAAAGAAAGAAAGAACATTAATCCGATGTTATTACTGTTAGGGAGAAAATCCGACACTGTGCCGGTGTACCGACGCAACACTAGGCTTATTTAAATGTCAACGTTTAAGTCCCCTCACTAATCAATCTGACATTTCACTTGGTAATGAAAACGCGCCATTCGCGCCAAAAGGATATTTTCTAAAATTACCTAATTGCTTCAACATAATAAAATTATCCTATTCAAAGTTATCATAGACTACACTTATTTAAGTTAAAATTTAAACCGTACTAAAAAGAAAAAAGTCTTTTGTTTTTAAATCCGCTCTTACTTATAGCAAAGAGTTTCTATTGTAATTTAAAATTGGAACGAATCCAGAAATTCGCGCCGCCTTCACGATTGAAACTCTCTTATTGGCCGGTTGCAATTTAAAATCCAAGATGGACGCCCACAACTCGGATTACGTACGTCCACATGTGACAATAACAATCCCGGCGACGAATGACTGACCCATTTATATTACCTACGTTATCGACACGCGGTCGTTTAGCTGATTATGTAATTAATTATGACTCGCTCAGTACTTTCGTTTGATAACACTGGTCTGAAAAAAATCACTCCTTTAATTTTTGATGGTGAATAATTTTAGAAAAGAAAATATATATCATAGAAACAAAAAGGTTAAAAAATAAGGTTGGTTTAATCAATACAGACATGTAATACCTATTTTATAATTTTTGAGTAAATAAATCGAAAATTACAGAGAAAGACGAAAAATTTGAATTTAAAAAAAAATTAAAACACAAAAAAAATATGTTTACAAAAATAAATTTAGCTCAATAAAATCTCCATATCCATTAAGAAATTTCTGAAAGGTTGATTTTGACAGTCCAGTCGTCAAATAAATTACCCCGAACATACACGAAATTGCAAACAGACAGACAAAAATGAAAAAAAAATCCCTTATCTGTAAACCTGACGTACAAACACTCCAATTTCATAAATTGTATAGATTTAATGAATCAAATTATACTTGGTCTTAGAATTAATTATTTGTATTCCGTCGCCAATACGCAGAACTGACGTAAAACAAAGTTCAAGAAGGTCGTAACTATAACGCATAAGAATTATTTTTAATTTCAATTAATTAACATAGTTAACTTATAGTTAAATAGAAAACAGAACAATTTAATAACTCTGGATAAAATGTTCATGATTGTAATCCATTTATGCGTTAATTGGGTACGAATAAAATTCATTGTAATTAAAAAAATAATTACCCAAACTCAAAATAAATCAGAGCATCGATGGCTCACGAATTAAGTCCTTGACTTGAAATCTGCGGGTCCCTGGATCATCCCGCCATATACCAATGTTCGATTTACATATGTACATTTATCAAACGTTCTTACGGTTAAGTAAAATATCGTGATGCAACCTGCACATATCTAAGAAGAAATTCAAAGATATTTGTGAAGTCAACCAATTCGCATTGGGTCAGCATGGTTGACTATGGCCTAGTAACCCCTAACTTAGGGTAGTCCCTGAGACCCTCAGTAGGGACGTATAGTGAGCTGATGATTATGATATACTGATCACTTAGTGTCATTTAATATTATATTTAAAATTGCAATTTACAATTACTCAACGGAATTCCCCAGAGTCTTATCGTATCAAGAAAATACTTTTTTAGCTTTATTTCTTCCTACTACCACGTTACTATTTTCCTTTTATCTACAATATTATGTGCAAAGTCTAATAGTGCGTTGTAAAATCTACATTTCGGCGATGCATGACCCAACCAGTCGTTCCCTACACGACACGCCTCAGTTACTTGCGCCTAGTTTTTGCCGATTGTTGCATTAACACTGGAAACTACGACATGCACAATAATAATCCTTTTTTTATTTAGCAAAACCAGTAATAAAATATCTCTGGTTTCCTGTACGTAGATACATATATACAAACACAACAGAGAGAACATTAAAAAAATCAAAAGTGTAAAAGGTTTAAGGTTAGAAAGAAAGAGGAAATGCAATATCTATTCTTTACAATAATTATCATATTACTCGTGCCCTTTTTCTTTTATAAAGTTCCTGGCGACAGCCAGCATAACACGATTACAAATTGATCAACTACGATTTCCTCATAAAACCTTATTTCATTTTTTTTTTCACTTGTCCGTTGTTATTCCTTTTTCCAATTGTCTGTTGAAGTTTTATTTTTTAATTAAGGTTAGGTTAATGGCTTAATATTAATATCATTGAACACCTTTCAATTAGTACGGCAAAATTATTACTTAATAATATTAAAGAATATTAAAATATGCTCTGATTGTTCGTTAGTCTGTATAAATTTCAGCTATTATAGTGCGCCTGACAAAATATATTCTTTTAAATTACTCAATAATTGATTTATTGAACCTTTCAAAACATTCCAAGTTAATGTAGAATGAAGCAATTCTATAGGCAATCAACGCAGAAACGTACTGCATTATGTTAAGATTCAAACATTAGAAAAATAACGTTGAATCGTTTTTTAAGGATTAAGGTTAGGTTAACATTCTTAGGTTTAAAGTTAAAATCTTACAAAGTAATATAACGTAATATAATATAATGTTATATAAATATATGGCGGCAGGACATAATTTTAAAATAAGATAAGTGTAACGGTCAAGCCAAGTCAAGAGCACAAACGTGTGGAATAATGGAACATATGCTGGAACTACCCATTTCTTTCGTTTTTTTACACCTTATCTTATAAATCCAATTTGTCTTCCCGAACTCATACAATATCCTGTAAAAAAAAGGTTTTAATTAATTGTATAACGTATCGCATTTGACAAACTACAGGCAACAAAATTTTATTTTAAGCTTGGCAACATTGTTAGTGACAGATGTTTACGCGCCAAACAATTGAGAACAATGGTTGCCTTATAGAGCCGTTTTAAAGTGTTGTATTCGTGTTTTTAATTGATTGCGTGTATTTTCCTTTAATTTGCTCAATTAACTTGTTCAATAACAGACTTGACACGAGTTTTACAAGATGTGTTCGATATTATCTTCAATGCTGAATGTATATTTTCAAAACTAAGTGATGGAGGCGCCAACTCCATAACTTTAAGCTCGTGTGCGAAATTTCGTGACATAATAAATATTGCATACTACAAAAAGATTCACGGATATGGCTACGATAACACCTCGTCGTTCTTTGCGGATTCCTCATATGCATACGCCGAAAATGACCGATAGGAAAAAGGGGTTATTTCAAGGCGAGGCACCCCCACAGCCGGAGTCTTTGACGAAGCATCGCCGGCTCCCCGTGCTGGACAGTGAGAGTGACAGTGATGACTGCGATCTTGGCATCATAAGCACCATTGATTCAAGCTCTGGAGAGGAAACTGATCAGAACACTCCTAAGACGCCCGAGAGAACACTGTGGCGTGAGTTATTCGAGTATTAATTTCAATTAGTGTCCGAATTTGGTCCTGTCTGTTCCTTTAACCTAGCCACTCGAGTAATTTTGTCATATTGTTATGAGTAAATAAGGTTTTATCACTACTACAACTTGGAGCATTTCCATAATCTTGGATAAACTAAAAGTAACATTGAACTAACAATATCCTTATTTCATACTGTTTTCCTTTTAGATACAGGTTTTTTATAGATATAGATATATAGATATATCTTATATATTAGATATAGATGTATCTTTGTACAGCAGGTATCCTGCATACCTATAACAGTTTATTTTAATATGTGTTTATTTTTTATGTTCACAGATGAAACTAGAAGCCAAACAAAGAAATTAAAAGAAACACATTACCTGAAGAATTTCATGAAATCACCTTTCACACTTAAAAAATATCAGACACAGTATTCATGTCCAGAATCAAAATGTGGTTCATCATCCACACCAGCTACCCCCCACCTCCGTAACCATCCTGTTACACCTTCATCCACACATTCATGCACCAGCATACATACAACTTCATCTACATCAAGCAAAGCTCGTAAAAGCCTTGCCAGTCTTATAGCTGATACAGAAAGCTGCAGCAGCTCTCTAAAAGATCTTAATTTCGATTCAGATTCTGCTACAGACTCAAAAGAGAACACACCAACAAAACCACTAAGACGGTCCTCCCGTAAACATAAAAATTCACCCAAACTTCACAGCTTTAAAGGTGTGCTACTCGAACAGAAGAAAAATGTATCACCCATAAAATATCCTGTTGTATGCCTAACAAAAATGGATTTCACCAATCTTATATCACCCACGCAAATGTTAAAAACACCACACAATACAACTGAAACTAAAGATTCTCCACCAAAATTAAGTCACAACAGACGTTCCATACTTGAAATTGAAGAAAGCCCCGAATCTGTTTGTGATAGTGAAAAGAGTCATAAAAGATTACACTATGATGGTATGTCTGATAATGGACCAAACTCTAAATTACCAAGATTAGACCCAAGTGTAGCACCGAAGGCACGGCTCTCTTTATTCAATAGTGATAAACTAAAAGAGATATTATCAGCTAAGTCATTCTATGGCAAAAGTAATCCAGACTTAAATACAAGTATAGCAACAAAACTTTCTAATGCTATAGAATCAACTGCAACTCATCCACGTCGTTCATTCGGTAATTCGAAACGCAAACGAAAGCCGGGACAGATTAATATGGGTGTTAAACACAAGATACGTAAACCTAAATATAATAAACCCAATATATCCAGTGTTAAAGTGAATACGAAAATTGGAGATATTAGTTCTCAAACTTTAAATAAAAGTGTCACATCTCAAAGTTCTACGAATGATGTAGAATTCAATGCAACGGAATTAGTAACAGGTGAGAAGTTTTTAAATATGTTTTTGTGTTTTCTTATTGGTTAGTTCAATCCAATAAAAAAAATGTAAAGTCCAAACTCATATTTTTTTTTCTTGTATTGAATTGAAAAATAATACTTTTACAAAAAAAAATGAAAAATTATTTGTTATAAAGCGAAAACTTAAGTTTTACATTGAATAGTTAATATAAAAAACTTTATGGATCCACAATGGGTAGGTTTGGTACAAAAAACAGTACTTAAGATATATTATTTAATTTTATGTTTTAAATATTACATTTTTTTTAGACAAAATCAATCCATTTGTACAAGAACAGCAAACAATAGAAGCATTATTAAGTCAATGGACGGAAGAGGAAGTTCCAGAATCTGAACTAAGTTTCCGGAAAACAGAAGTTCCATGTTTTAATAAATCAATAATAGAAGAGACAAGTACAATCTTCCAACCAGTTACGGCCACTCTGGTGGAAAGTTTACCACTTCCAGAAGACTCTGACACCATTATTGTTGAACTGGGTGCAACAAACAATGGCCAAGGTAATCCAGGTCAAGAAGAAATGGTCACCCAAGATATTATTATGGCAGATTCTATGACAGAAAACAACTCAAAAACTACAGAATTTCTGCCTGTTGATGGAGGATATATTGTTGTTGAAGATAATGAAATTAAAGGTAAGGTTCAGAAACCTTGGATTTCCTGTTATTACTTATTATGTAGATGACTGAGTAAAATAATGTGTTACCAGATAATAAAAATAAATTTATAGTAGTGAAATAGTTTTTATAATCAGTTCAATAGTTTTTGAGTTATCCATAACAAATCAACAGTTCTTTTATTATTTGAATCAAAAACAATGCATAAAAGTAGTTTTTAGCCCCGATGATGAACATGCTGTTATTATTAACTAGCTGTAGAGTTGCCTGCGACTCTGTCCACGGAGATTAAAAAAAAACACTTCATTAGTAGCCTATTTGTTGTTCCAGACTATGTTCTATGTTTGTGCCAAATTTAATTAAGATCAGTTGAGTCATTCCAGTGATGCCCTTTAACAAACATCCATCTAAACTTGCATTTATAATATTAGTAAGATTATACTTTGTATTTTTTCTAGAACCAGAAGAATTAACAGACCTGGACGCGATTGAGCGTGAACTAAAGATGTTAGATGAACAAATCCTACAGATGGCTCAGTCCAACAACATCAATGCTGAGGCAGTGCTCGCATCCACTGAGAAAGATATACCAAGAGTTAGTCCTGGTGAGTACATTCTTAGTTAAAACAAAGAAACTGCAGAAACCAGAGTTTATTGTGGTTTTCTGTTACGATTTTTTTTTTAATTTAAAAAAAAATTACCATATCATTTTCCATATATACAGTGACTAGCTGTCGCCCGCGGTTCTGTATTAAAAAAGCTTAATTATTAGCTGCCAGACTATGTTCTACATCTATGACTTATTTCAGCAAGATCTGTGTAGCCATTCTGGAGAAACATTCAAACATCCATTCATCTAAACATTGGCATTTATAATATTAATAAAGTAAAATTAGTAAGATGATAAGAATTAAAAACATCAGTCATTAAATAATTCTGTGTCTTCTGTAATAATTGTCAATATGAAGTTAAAAATGTTATTAACCAAAGTAACCTATTTTCTAATTTTTTTTTATTACAGAATTAATATCGGACGAAGAAAATAATACATTAAAAACCAAACCTATGAAATTGTTCTCGATTTTCAACAAACCGAATCCTGGAGTCTCCACTCTATCAAAAGGTAACATTTTTAGTCACTCATTGTTATAATTAATATCCTTAGTGACGATAATAGCTACTATTTACACTAAGATACTAATTAAGTGGTGGTAGTGTAGGTGGATTTGACAGAGTAAGGGACATATAGAAAGGGGAAATATCCTCTTTCTGTGGGACTTCTATCAATTTAAGGTTTGCACACATCTACAAATGCAGATGTCTATGGGCAACAGTTGCTCATTATTTTGGCGAAATCAAGTGACCTCTTCCTTGTTTGCCACCTTGTTAAAAAAAAATTAAATGTTTGACCATGGGTTTCTAAGAACAAAATCTATTCATCTGTCATTATTTAGTTTTTCATCTCAGAAACCCACGGTGAGTGGCAGTTAGTAGTATTCAAATTTATTTACAGTTTTTTATTTTATTATCTTCAATCTTCAGGTACAGATAAAAGCAGAAGGTCAATACTAAAGTCAATAAAAGACCAATACGTAATAGACGCTGGTCAGAAAAAATTCGGAGTCACTCAGTGCAATGAATGTGGAGTTATTTATCAGGTAAAGTATCTAGATATTTAATTCCTACTAAAATTCTCGTGTCACAATGTTAGTTACCATACTGTCCCGAAACGGCTTGACCGATTTTTATGAAATTTTATATGTATAGGTGTGAGAATCGGCTCCTATTTATTTTTTAATCACGCGCGGACCGAGTCGAGAGGGACAACTAGTTTTAATATACATTTTAACGTGTAACATATTGTTGACTTTGTATTTTCAAAGAGATTAAAATGGTTTATGTATTTAACAGAGCCAAGTTATATTTTTATAGATTTATTACATTTAAAAATGTTTATTTCCAGATTGGAGATCCTCAAGATGAGCATGACCATTTAGTTCATCATAATGCCACAGATGTGCTTAAATTTAATGTAAGTTTTATATATTTTTACCTAGTTTTTTGTAGAATTGAAGTTTTTTATCACTTGGGCACTATAAATATTTATTTTGCCCGCAACAATATATGAAAAACGTATTCAGAAAATCAGAATCATAAAGTCAAGTACAGTATTTTATTTTTTCAATTAATTTTATCTACAGTTATTTTACTGACTGCTATCATAAATAGCTGAAATAAAAATAATGCCAGAAAAAGACTTGGCACGAAAGTCTTGTTTCCGGGCCATAAAATCTTCAAAAAGACTAACCACAATCGAACCTCGGTTAGCAAGAATCATTGCTCGACGAACAACCTTCATAAGCGAGAAACTGGTTGAAATAAACCTTTATAACCGAGAAAAATATAGCGATTAGACTCTGGCTTATCTTGTCTTTGTTATATTTCCAGGGTTGGAAGGAGGAGTGCGTGGTACATCGTACAGAGAGCGGTCGTGTGGTGCGTGTGCGCGGCGGCTGCGGCGGCTGGCGGCGAGTGGCGGCGCTGCTGGCGCGTCTCGTGCACGCGCAGCTCGGATACGAAGCTGCGCTGCCCAATGAACAACATCACTATACTGTATATATACTTATTATATGTATTATTTTTCAATCTACCCTCTTTTACAAAAAAAAAAATTATGACTTCATTGTGGTTAAGTTGTAAAAATATTCAAAATTTGTCATTTAAATTTTCGATGTCAATTCAAAATATTTCATAAAAATCATGTTTCATACTATTGTACTAATTTTGCTAATATTATAAATGCGAATATTTGGATGGATGGATGGATGTTTGTTAGAATGATCTCCAGAATGTATGCATGCTCTTCAATGAAATTTGGCATAGATGTAGAACATAGTCTAGAAGAACACATGGACAACCAAGTTTTTTTTAAACTTCGCGCGAACAAAGTGACGGGCAAAAGCTAGTCTAACTATATTTTTCAAAATTTATTAACACAAATTTAAACCTTTTTGAGACCTAATAATATTATTTCTCATTACAGGCTTATTTGTATGTTGAAAAGAAGCAGATAGTAGGCTGCCTAATAGTGGAGCCTAAAGTCAAGGCTTACAAGTTGATACCTGGAGACCCGGACTGCTGTAGTGTCGAGGATTACCCAGTCAAGTAAGTACATATTCGTTATATTATTTGCAATGTTGTTTCATATCACAGTAGAATCAAGATAAAAGAGAAACCTCTATTAGCAAAAAAAATATCGCGGTCCCTTGGATTCTCGCTTATCCAGGTTTGACTGTCTTTTCTGAACTGTCAAGAGATTCCATAAACTACAATAAGTCTATGTCATAAATCCTACATATCTTCTTACGTATAAAATGCGAATGTTTTGATGGATGGATGGATGTTTGTTTGAAGATATCTCCAGAACGGCTGTATGGATATTGCTAAAATTTGAAATAGCTACTAATTAAGTTTTTCTTAATATCGGGTACGCAGAGTCGCGGGCTACAGCTAGTTAATAATAATCTTGTTAATACCAGATGCGGCGTATCTCGGATCTGGACGCACGCCAGTCACAGACGCAAGCGCATCGCGTCCCAGCTACTGGACTGCGCACGCGCAACATTCCTGCACGGAGATGTGGTGCGCTTGAATGAAGTCGCCTTCAGCGCCCCCACTGCAGCTGGGAAAGCCTTCGCAGCTAAGTATACTGGAACTGAAAACTTCTTTGTATATGTCGATTGATTGTTTACTATTTTATACAAAAATTCGTGGGTTTATTACTGATACATCTTAACAAAAACATTTTAACTAAAATTATTTCATGAACTACTCCAAGTAAGAGCTAGAACCCATGAACATTGTATGTTAACTATTAGACTATTGGCGCTTTAAATCCTCTATAGAAAGATATATTTTTGTAACTTGTTTCGGCAATGGAAACCCACGGTTATTGTTTGAATTACATAATGTAATTATTATGCTGTAATTACTTTATCTTTAGGAATATTCGTGTGAATTTTGCTCAATATGTGAGTTTAGATGTATTTAGCAGAAAATGACATTTAAAATGTGTAAAAATTGCCATTCGTGCCATAAGCAACTTAATAATTAAAAGTCTAGTTCTAGACAAGACATAAAATGTTTTTATCATTCGACTGTCTTATATACCTATGTTTTGCTTTAATTTTTTTTATAGGATAGTAGAGTTTTCACAAATTTTTTACAGCAGTTTTTTTAGATTGTACCAACGAATTGAGGTAAAGCCTGTTTGTTTGAAAAGACATTTTATAATTTTTTTTTTTGACATGAATCACTCGTTTTTTTTTTGCTAATATAATTTTGAAAAGATATATTTTATAATATAGGGACCAATATGTTTAAAATACTCTTTATGTTAAGATAAAGTGCCAAACTTATTGATATTTTTCTATGATTATAAATTAAAAAAAAATTTAGTTCTGATAAGATTTTTTTGATATCTTTTTTTCAATTTGCATGCATCATGTATATTAATAAAAAGTTTACTTTATAATTTTTATATAATAAGTTTTTCTTTTTCTACTAATCGATTTATATTTTGAAATTTTAATTCTGTTGTCTCAAACAATGAATTTAAAAAAATAAATAAAAATTTTCAATTTAAAAATTGGAAATAAATCTTTTTACAAGCATCTGAAATGGAATTTGTAATCTCTATTTTTTTAATTTCTATTTTTTTTTGCTACGCAATATTTCTAGATATAGTTGTATCTTAAGTTTTTTTTTAGTTATTTTAGGATGTTGCCAGTTTTAATTTATACGATACCTCAATATTACCCAAATATTTAATTTCTGTATATGTTTATGTTCTCTTACGGCTTAAGTTTTTTTCAAGTTAACACTTAAGTTAAAAATGTACTTATACATTTAACATGGCTGCCAAAATTCATAAAGTTATGTGAATAGTTTAAGTAGTTTATTAGTTTTTTTTTCTTTAAAAGGTTTTGATTTTTTTTATTAGTTTGTGCATAATTTAGAGTTCTATTTTTGCATTGTAAAATTACAATATGACTTTTTCTCTTCATACAATTTGCATTTGCTTTTTTATGACGTCATATTTCTGAAAATAAGCATTAACTAAACGTTACCGACGAAGGCTAAGTTTTTTTGTGTAGTTTTTTTTTTATTTTGTATAGTGCAGTTTGTCTGACGGGATTGTGATTTTTTTCTGTTTTTATTTCTTTAGACGTGATAAATTGTTCGTGAATTACAGACTGAATGAAATATTCATAATTTGATGTACGTCAAATACAATAAAAAATTTAGTTAATTTTTTGTTTCGAATGGTGAATTAGTTATTTTTGAAATTGGCGGATTTTTCATACTGTTGGTAACATATTTTTACTATAGGTATTGTACATTTATAGTCACAAGTCTTCAGCCTGAATCTCTTAAATGCTGAATAGTTTTAAGTTTGAGTTTAATTTCTTTTTTATTTATAGATTTTTTGACATTAAGCTTTTTGTAATTCTCTTTTGACTGCTAGAAAGCCTAGATTATGGCTTAATTCTTTGATATTATCTAGATTTATATTAATTCTAGTTTTCTATGCATTTAGTTAACAATGTTTTGTGTATTAAATATTTTAGAATGTAATTTTGTTGTTAGTTTGTATATTTTGTTTCGTTTTATGCATGTTTTTTTAAGTCAAAACAATTTATATTATAAAAAAAAATAGTTTTGAAACTTTTTACATAACTGACACATTTCTTGTCGCTTATGAGCCAAGTGCGGTTTTTTTTTGTTTAATAAAAGTTTTTAATTTTTCTTTATGTAAAGAAATATACTCTGGATAGTATATAAAAAGTTTTGTTAACTCCAAAGACGATTTTGTACCTTTCAATACAGCCATAGACTTGATATATTTATTTATAATTACATATCGAATATGTTTCTAAGGTAAATTTAAACGTAGATTTCCACTACACATGTTTACAGGAATAATCCTCTAATTTTCCTTGAAAGATATGAAACTGTTTTTGTGTTTTGACAGTGGAAACCTACTTTAACATTTGTTCATTTCAAGACAAAACTTTCTCTACTGTTGTGAATTAAATGTGATTTACTAGTTGATTTGAAATTAAAGTTGACATTTTTCTAAATATTTTATATTTTATTTAAAAAAAATCCACGGCCGAGGTGTAAAAAAAATGAAAAAGCACAATTTTTTTTAAAACAACATTTATTTTTACATACATTTAAGTCGGATTCAAAATGCCTGAAACATACTGATATTTGTGTACACATCAGTTACAGATTATATTAAAAATTTCAGTGGACAGTAAACAATATCTTTGCGATGAAATCACGTGGAAATTAATTAAAAAAAAATAAAAAAGCGCCTGTTTTTTTTAATTTCACAATCGCAGTAAATACTACTATACATCGTAAATATTAAAAATTTATTTTATCTTTAGGAAATTTAATTAGGTATATTTTTAAAATTAAAATTTGTTAAAAATATAGATTTTTAGTATATAATAAAAAACGTAGGTATTTAATAGTAAATAGACCGCGGTCCGCGCGAGCGTTTACCTCACACGCGTCCCCACGTGTCCTAACCAAAAGTACTACGGGACAATCGAGAGAAAAATATCTTTGTGCCTCTACAATTATTTATAAGAAAATAAACGAAGGCGCCCCCTAATTAAATGCCATCATAACGTATCTCCAAAGAGTGAGGGGGAGCAGCATAGATAAAATATTACCAAAAAATATTCGCAGTCCGCAGCTGCATTTTGTACGAACCGAAGGTCGGGCGTTGTCGCGCCCTCACATACGTTTTGTGCGCAAGTGTACATTCCATTTAACTACTATGAAGATATATATTTAAAAAAGAACAAAAAGGAAATGTTCAATACTATTTGGTTATTGGCAACGGACGTAACATTACCCACTACAAGGACCGGACCGCAAACTAACTCGACACTACGCTATCCGATTTTCGCTTAGAAAGAGTATGTAGAAATGAATTACATTCGGACTTACAGCGCGTATAGAGGTAACTACATATATAATTTACAATTACTCTTTTTAATTATTTCACGTCGACACTGGCAGTATATTATCTAAATATCGAAAAACATAGAAAATATTCTATATGCTACTTTATACATATTACATGACTCACTTGTTATTGCGATCTCTTACATCGTACGAGGACAGCGGCCTCTCGTCCAACACACAAATATATAGACTTTATAATCTATAGACTGACCACATCAAAATATCATAACAATCTTGCTACAAAATATTTAATACAATGAATATTAAATTGCTTTTTTATGTTTATTTATTTACCAAAGGCAAGATTGTATAGATCAAATATAGTTAATAGTCTATATATTAGTTAGTCTAGTAAATAGCGTATGACGTCATATATTTTACAAGAGAAATGATACATATAGTACATAGTGTAAATATGCATCGTGCGCTTTTAAATAAGTAACCAATGAAACGGATATGAACGAACTTCATAACGGCAGAAAAGATTCGCGTGAACTATACTCGCATACATTTTGATATCGTAGACAGTATGTTCCCGTGATAATGCGGATTGTCTGATAAGTTTAATATAAGCCTAATAAATCACAAAAGAAGTCAACGAGATTTTTTTTTGATGTACGAATTACGTTAAATTGGACAGTAAAAGTACGGTTTTGTAACCATTACAAAATCTAGTAATAAACGTAGCCTTTATGACCCGGGAATAGTGCAGCTTTTAACAGTGAAACAATTTTTTAAATCAATTTAATATTTTCAGAGTGGATTCAATGCAAACAAATCGTTCCCCTTTATAATATTAGTATAGAAAAATGTTTATATTTAAATTTTTATCAGACAATCCACATAAATCATACATAATTTGTATCCGACTGGACAATAGAAATGTAAAGAGAAAAATATCCTTAAAAACTTCAGCAGTCTACTTATATATATGTTTTGCATTCATCAATACCGCTTTACACTAGAACTTAGTTAAATAGCTACCAAATAGTTTTTTTTTTACTTTTTAAGTTACATGTACAATAAGTATTTAAGATGCCGTGTTTACAGTTCATCGACAAGCGAAAATAGCTGCCTTCTGTCAAGCAAAACACTAACTAAACTAGAATAAGTTTTCATATTAAAATATTCAACAAAATAAAACATAAAATTAGAAAACAAGAGTGAATAAATAGGTAATTTTGCATTTTTAAGATTTTTAGTATGTTTAGTATCATGGGTTTCTGAGACTCAAATCTCTGTATAAAACATATCATCATCCCTGTCACCTTTAATAGAACTATAGATAACAATACGTTTTAAACGGAGACTTTGAGCTCAGAAATCCACTATAAATCATTCAAAGTAATAAAATCAAAATTTAAAAATGCTACATAACCTCTTCACAACTCATGTCAACTATCAAAAAAACCCAAGCTTCGGTGACAGTAATGTTGCCAGTTGTAAAAAATATAAATTACATTGAACTTTGGCATCTTTAATTTTGCCCTCCAAAGAGGTTAACTTTAAAAAAAATCAATAAAACCTGTTTAATCTCTAAGATTAATAAATCTAATTAAAATGAATATCGAGAATAAAAAATCGAGACATGTAAAACATCCGATGTTTGTAAATGGTGACCTATCGGCACCATATATTACATTCCGCTTATATTCAAAATTAAACTTAACATATAACATAAAAAATTGAATAATATTAATATATATTAAAAAAAATAACATGTTATGTAAAATAATCTAAAAATGGCGATTGCACACATCGTAGAGATTTTCTAGCTTGCTCCAGGTGACAGTCAAAAGATCATTTTTATATGGTAACATTATTTGTATGGTGTTTCCGTCGGCAACACTTCATTATGGCACAAAACTATAAAACAATCTTATATTAAGGACCATACACGGTTATAACCTATAATTCAAATCACTACGAAAAATTACATAACCGTAATTAAAAAAAAACAACTGAATTTATTTTTGGTACGCAAAAATCCACAAACGTCAATAATGGTACTGTAAAAAAACTAAATGTAAAATAAACGTAATAATACGTTACTTTAAAACTCGTTGCAAACAATGGCTTGTTTATGCAATTATTAAAATCAAAAAGAACATTCTATTAGTTATAGAAAAATGACAAACAGGAAATTACATTTTTGACATTTGTCAAAAAAAAAAACCAACCCTAGTTGACTTAAATTACAGTTGCACTGTTAAAAAATATAGAGTCGATAAAACAGTCCAATATACTATTTTACCGACATTAAATCTTGCAAAATAAATATAAAATAGACGACACAAAAATCAGATTCCAAAACTAAATAACATAAATAGATCTCTCGATTTAAAAGCAAAACTATGCAAATGTAAGTACATAAACCTTCCTTATAAGTTAAAATATATATTAAAGTTAGTGACATTTGAACTTAGAATTAATAATCGAAAACTATTCAATGGAAATAATAAAATAATGAAAAAATATATTTTTTTTAAATACTGCTAACATGCCATCTACGGCCCGCATTGAATAGTTATATCTTTGGACCTTATTATTTCTAAAAGCTCTACTACCCTACATTACAACTAAAACAGCAAAGCCTGTTAGAGTTTAAAATTTGCGCTACATACTGCGGCTAAAACTCTAAAAAAAAAGTGTTAATATTTAAAAAAAAATTACATTTGGAAGACAATCCATAGAAACTAAAACTTACAACTTAAAAAAAACTATTAATAAAAACAAAAAAAAAAACAATAGGAAACATTATAATCACATTAAATAGCGTAATTCTTGAAACAATTATAAAAATATATAACTTTCTATCATCAGAGATATTGCTAAGAAAAATTTACATTTATATGTAAAAAATGTACAAGACAAAATATTTGTGCGAATTACTTTTTATAGTAAAAAAAATGTCTTGAGCTTATAAAATTGCATTAAAGTGATATGCATTAAGATATAATTAAATAAATCGAAATGTTAAGAAGCAAAAAAGTGCCGATATCAATAGATAATAAAAAATATAATAAAAACTAGCCTCAAAACTATCAGGCCAATGATCCTTAATATAAACAATGATTTATGAATAACAGATTGCATTTATAAAATATATTAGAATTTGTATATTGACAAATCTATAAGATTTTGAAGAATATATTTTTGTTCAATGCCAATAGAACATTGAAATGTAAATTTAAGATCATTTATAAATCTTCACATAAATATTACAACATAAGATATTTAAAAAAAACATTTTTTTTATAGATCCGATTTCGAAATTTAAAAAATCGCATTAAAATTTACATCCATAGACAATAGCAAAAAGACACAGCGACAAAAAATACAGAAATACGAATAGAATATTAAAAATTAATTTAATAAAATCTGCGATAAAAAAAATAAAATCAAAATAATCTATAAACAACTCTTGTGGGATGAGCGAAAAAGAAAAAAAATCCGTGTCTATGGCTGCGAGTGGCCGTTCGGAAACACCATGCGAACGACACAAGAGTGTCATAGAGCGAGCGCGAGAGATTGCATTCATCGACCAAATTATCTGTAAGTGGCGCCACTGTCGCTAGTAAATTCTTTGACATTTCAATACATTTCCTTTAGTTCTAATTTCCGCCACTTGAGAGATAAATTGGATATGTAAAACACCACAAAGTAGGGGCGTATACAATATAATTATAATATAGTGTAAATATTGCTGTGCCGTGTCGGTACATTGGTGTCATCCGGAGGCAGCTGGACCAGGAGTCGCCTCCAGCGCTTGCCTTTGCTTTGCTCTTCACGTTCTCTGAAAACATTTATTAAAAAAAATATTTAAAAAAGCAGATATGACTCCCCCTGCACCCTGACGACGAGAACGTGTCTAGATATTATGAGACAAGTGGTATAGCTTACCGTAGTGGTAGTAATGTTAGATATATTAATAACAAGCAGATCAAGCCAAGCTTCATCCCTCTCGGGCACCCTCCAGCCCCAGTCTCCATACGCTAAGCGGTCTAATAGCTCGGTGGCCTCTCAATCCGGTAACAATAACGATGTAGTAGCCCGAGCCGAGGAAGCCAGGCTAAACGCCATCTGCACTCGGCCACCTCAAGCCCGGTGAATATGTAACAGTGATTTCTCAGTAATAAAAAGAAATAGCTTACCGTTGTGTGAGGGTTAGGGGTAGGTGTAGTAGTTGTGTGGTGGTGTGTTGTTAGAGCAGCTCGTACTGGCGCAGGTGCATGCGCTGTATGATGTCGCGGCAGTCGTTGAACACGCGCTTTATGTTCTCCGTGTCGACGGCGCACGTGAAGTGAGGGTAGCAGTAGTGCTTGCCTTCGCCACTCGCTGTGCTGATGCGCTGTACGACATACAAAACAATCAGGGGTAGGTAGAAACAAGACCTCCAAAACAGATGTATAAAAAACATTTATCGCTTATAAATATATGTTTTTGTTATTTATGTATTATTAAAAAGTACTAGGAGCACAGTAACTTATGGGAGACATAAGTTATTTTTGCTAATTAAATTGGGAATGTGAAATGTTTTGACGGATAATTGTGGGTACATTAAATTTAAAATTATATAAAAATATGCATTTTCCTCCACCTTTGAAATCTTGTATAAAAACATATTACTCTTAAAACAGCCAACAGAGCACTTGTTTTCTAAACATGTTTATCAGTGGGAACATGCAATAATTAACGTGATAAAAAGTACTAGGAGCGCATAACTCACGAGGAACTCATCGCGTATGAAGTACTTGGCGCGGGCGACTTCCGGGTGGTCGCGGGCGTCGGGCGTCGCGTCCGGCGGCGTTTGGTAGCGCGCGAACTCAGCGAAGTAATCCTCCAATCGGGACTTCCCCGCCAGCACCTTCTCCGCGAGCAGGTCCTGCTTGTTCAGGAACAGGATCACTGATATCGTGCGCAGCCATCTGTACACAAAACATTAAATCCATGAATTACTCATCGAATGAATGATTAAATAACTGAGCGAATAAATAATTTCTGAAAGAATGACTTATAGTATATGTCATCATCATCTGTAGTTCATTATACGACCCAACTGAGAAGCTCGGAGCCTACCTTAAGTCAGTGACTAGGCCATAGTCAACCACACTGACCCAGTGCGGGTTGACTTCACACATGTCTTTACAGATAAGTGGACATATTGCTTGCATCACAATGTTTTCCTTCACCGTAAGAACATCTGATAAATGTACATATATAAATTTAAACAATCTGAACTGTTGCGAGAAGTCTTGCTATTGAATTAATTCTATCTATATATAAAACCTACTTAGACAAATAAAATGACAAAAAAAATGACATAACAGCTACAGTACAAAGAGGATATTGTAAAATTTGACGTTGACAGAGGGGCGCTAGTATGCTGTCATAATTTAGTTTGATATATACCAACCAGTTCAGACAGCTTTGGTCTATAAATTATGACTGGGCAAGTGAATGAAATAATTCTAGGTTACCTGTTATTCCATATGCTTTTGAATAGATCGAGCGACTCCCTCAGTCGGTTCTGTGTTGGATCCTCACGGAGCACCATGTTGTAGGAGGAGCAGGCCGTCACAAAGATGATGGCCGTCACATCATTGAAGCACTGGATCCACTTACGACGCTCGTCCCGTTGCCCGCCCACGTCGAACATACTGAAATACATTTATCTAATACTAGCTTTTGCCCGCGATTTTGTACGCTCGGAATTAAAAAATCTTACTAATATTGTAAATGTGTATGTTTGGATGGATGGATGTTTGTTTGAAGGTATCTCGGAAACAGCTGCACGGATCACGCTGAATTCAGCTTAGATGTAGATGAGCTGGAAGCTGGAAGAACATGTTGGCTACTAATTAAGTTTTTATTTAATTACGCACGGACGGAGTCGCGGGCGACAAGCTGTCGTACGTAGCAAATGTAGCCTATGTTGTTCCGTGATAATGCAGTTACCAAAGTCAAGTGTCAGAATGATTAGTGAGGGGACATAAGCGTCGACATTTAGTAAGGCTAGTGTTGCGCCAGTACACCGGCACAGTGTCGGATTTTCTTCCTAACATTATGAAGGTTAATTTAAACATATTGAATGGTGTACTAACTGAAAGTTGACTTTATCCACGACGAACTGTGTCTCGAATATTCCCGATGTGAGGACGCGGCAGCGGAGAATATCTTGCTCCGTAGGCGTGTAGTCCGGCTGCTTTATTATGTGCACCTGGTCTAGGAAACTAGAAAAACAAATAGCTTGTTAAAAAAAAATATTTCCTCAAAGATATTACGACAGAAAAAAATAACAATGTCATTTTGACGTAATATTTTGACCAATAAGGGATCAGCTGCACGATTCAATGATGGCATTTTCATAATTACGAAATTCCATAAAAAATCACGAATAATATGACATTTAGGTTAATTTGCTAATGTATTTCGATGGATCCGTCGCGTTTACGCACCGATTGTGTGTCTTATGTAAGGATACGTACTATTTAGCGCAATCTATAAGCTGGTACTCATTACTACGCTCGTATGTGCGCTGCACGCCTTGGTCCTTCCACAACTGTTCCGTGTGCTCGTAGAACTCCGACGGGTAGTCAAAATCGGGCTGCGACGCTACATCCTGGAATATAGGAGATAATACTTGAACATATTAGCTATGTTGGCTATTGTGACCAAAATTGTAATGTTTCGGTCAGTGGAAACATATGGTGGTACATGTTTACCTGAATGTAGTCGACGCGTGCCTTATTCTCCGGCTTCTCGAGCGGTATAGGTGGTGTCAACGTACTCATAGCCCCTGTGATTGTCTGAAACACGAATACCAATCTAATGAAATGGTAGTACAGTATCTTACTAATATTATAAATGCGAAAGTTTAGATGGATGGATGTTTGTTGGAAGGTATTTGGAGAACCACTCAACGGATCTCGAAATTGGAATAAATGTAGAACACATCATCAGCTTACTATACGTCCCAAATTAGGGTCTTGGAGCCTACCCCAAGTTAAGAATGGCTGACATAGTCAACCATGGTGGTCCAGTGCGGGTTGATTGACTTCACACATATCTTTGAATCTCTGATATGGGCAGGTTGCATCACGATTATTTCTACCCTAAGAACGTCTGATAAATATACATAGCACACGGGCTACTAATGAAGTTTTTTTTTAATTCATCGCGAACGACAGCTATACGATAAAGGTATATCTTACTAGGATAGCATCTCGTATATTCTTCTTAATGTCTTCAATCTTCTCGCGGCGCTCCTTGTCGGAGAATCCGTTGACGTGCAGGATTCGCATCTGCTTCACAATGGTCGACTTGCCGGACTCACCCGCACCCAGCAACAGTAGACGATGTGTCGCCCGATACAACTGGAATACAACGTGTTGTCTGTACAGCGTCTCGTCTTACGAGCTATTCAGTGTGGACTGTACTATAATTATGACCATAGACAAAGCTATGTGCTTTAATATAGTTACCTGCTTATCTTTCTGAAGCTGTCGAGTTATTGCATCGCTCCTCCGCTTCTGGGATTTGAGGTCATCGCCCTCGCTGCTCTTACCGCCCGGTGAGCCGAAACACCCCATCGCCGACCACGCCGCCCACCTACACACAAACAAACACACATCTTAATTCAAAAAGCTAGATTTTACCGTTTGCCGCGCAACAACTAATTTGAATTAAGATTTTAAATATTTATTAAAATAAGAAAAACCTTCAATACTACACTATCTTAAAAATACGACCTAAAACATGAGTAAAATTTTACAGGCCAGTGTTGTAAATACTTTATTAAATACCTTAAAACTCTAAACCGACATTACAGATATTGCTCACCAAGCAAAACCATTTTTTTTAATATTATAAGGTGGCAAACGAGCGAGCGGCCAACTGAAATCGCTGAAATAGCGAAGTGACCGTTGCCCATGGACATACGCAATTGCATATGCGTTGCCTACCTTTCATCGACGGAGGAGAGGATGCACAGAAAGAAAATATTTTCCCTTTCCATGCATCCTCTCATCCGAAAAGTCCACTTCCACTTCCCATCCTCTCCTTATAAGAAAAGGGTGGGAAGGGAAAGAGGACTAAATTAGGCCTCCGGGACGCACACTCATCAGACGAAACGCGGAATTGCTTCCACTTCACGCCTGTTTTCTGTGTGGTGGTGGTATTTCACCGGGCGAACCTGGCCGATTCGTGCGAAGATGTTAAAGCGGGTTCAACCACTCTTAAAACCATTTCTATAGACAATAATTAGCAATAAATAAAATTAATGAGATATTAAGCTATTGGCATCATGGTCTGACCCACAACATGCGTCATATCAGCCTAATAGCCTGACTTAATAGCCGGGCTAGCCATACCGAGGCGTGAGGAGATCGGATGCCGCGAATACGACCTCACTGCTGTTAGAGACCGGCGCCGCCTTGACTACAGTAGCCATAAATATAAAACGAGACTAGAACTTTTAAAGGTATATCCATCCTTAGTTGTTATAAGATTTATGTTTGACATACAACTAACTTTGATTGTATCCTCTTTCGAAATTCATTTAAAAATAAATACATTATTTTTTTTTTTCAAAAACTTTAAATACCTATATCTTACTTATGTTATAAATGCTTTTTGGACGGATGTATGGATGTTTGTTAGAAGATACCTCTAGAATGGCCTACATGGATCTCGTTGAAATTTAGCATAAATAGAACATAGCCTTTTTTTCAGAGGGGAATGCTTTATGCATACTCCGCGCCCAGGGCGGGGGGGACGCGGTAGTTATGTGGGATTCTCCTCCATAGCAGAGGCATACCCACTAAACCCCTCTGTTCCTCCAACGCATCGGGACGGGACCACGGGCACGCTTTCGCTCTCGTCCGCGGCCCAAATAGAACATAGCCTGGAAAACACATCATCATCATCATCAGCTCACTATACGTCCCCACCGAGGGGCTCGGAGCCTACCCTAAGTTAAGGGTGACAAACACATTGTCTACTAATTAAGTTTTTTTGTTCGACGCGGACGGAGTGTCGGGGAACAGCTAGTCTTTACGTAAAGTAGAAGTACATAAGTACTTATTCTATCATATATGCTTACAAAAAATTACCAAAAAATGTCCTAAATTTTCCCAAAAGTATGGCTACCGGTATAGGGCAATTCTATCCGCAATTGTCCCCGCGCGGCAATACAGCGAATATGCTAATGTGCTATTATACGATGGCGTGTCGCCACGGACGTACGCTAAGTGATTTTAGTAGCTAATTCGATCTGCCGTCTAACAACATAATTGTCAGTTTTCTAAACGAAAACGTTGACTAGAAAAGATTGTCATAACTATATCTTTGTATGTGCTAGAAATCATACTAATAGTATAAATGCGAAAGTTTAGATGGATGGATATTTGTTAGAAGATAACTAAAACGGCACAACGGATCTTGATGCAATTTGGTACAGATGTAAAACATAGTCTGGAAGAACACACAGACTTCTAATTAAGTTTTTTTTTATATTCCGCGCGAATGGAGTCGTGGGCGACAGCTAGTTTCGTAATATATTCTAAAGTTGCAGTGGAGGGATGTTTATTAGAAGGTACGGATAAACCGATCTTGACAAAATCTTACTTATTACGTTTTGTTTTTTAATTTTGTGCGGACGGAGTCCCGGGTGACAGCTTGTTCGTAAATTAATGTCTCAAAAGGTCGTCTTTTAAAACATGATATCTTTGGACATAGTTGAGTTAACCATTAGGTAATTAGTTGGCAATAGTAACCTTTAACCGCACACCTAGTCGTTGATTTGAAAGGAAACAAGATCGCATACCTACGTGTTCGTAACATGGAACTAATTCGGGTCGTAGGATACTTCGTGTATATTAGAAACGGACATAACAATTTGAATTACATTTTAGAACCGAAACATCTTGACTATTGGGTTTCTGAGACCAAAATATCTGTATAAAACATATCTTTGACAAAATAGAGATAACAATATATTTTAAAAGGCTCAAAAACCAACGGTTAGAGGTCCATAAAGAATATTCACAGACTTATGCATATCAAGAGATTTAACTGTAGATATCTCTCCTCTATTATATGCCACTTTAAAGACGTTACATGTAAAAAGTTAACATATGTTTTTATATATAATACATGTAGGGCATTCCCCCAATAAAATTGTTGTTGTATATAGAAGTTTGCTACTGTTAAGTACATAACGGAATTATAATTGAATACTATTCAATACATATGGCAATAAAAAGCGATAACTTATCATAAATTCATTGACAATATTTCAAAAGAATTCGCGTAATATAATGTAATATGAAATCGATTACTTATCACAAATTATCATTCTTTAGATAAGAATAAAATAATATTGCTTTATACATCTTGGATATGAAATTAACAATGCCCCCTGTATTGATAACTTAAGTCTCGAACCTGAGTGCAAATTTGATAATTAAAAAATAGTTCATATAGAATTATTCGTTGATTTAAAATGAAATTATCTATAATAGGTTAAAATAAACCAAAAATGAAGTAACATAAATTCTTGTTTTTGAATTGACGAAATTATTTACACACTAGCTGCCGCCCGCGACACTGTCCACGAAATGTAAAAATCTTAGTTAATTCCCGGCAATTATTCGAATTTTTTAAACCTTCCTTAGACCTCCACGAACATTTCAAGACGAAGATGAGATAAATCTGTTCAGCCGTTCCCGAGTTAAAACTCGCTAAAGCGAGTCTAACGAACAGCAATTGATTTTTACATATATAGATTTCTCTGGTCGTTACTGCTTTTCATTGTCTATGGATTCCGGAAATAGGTCTGTTTTTAATCAGTTTGTGATTGCCAAATTATAAAATTAAAATTATCTCGAGAGCTTTGTCATAATTTTCAATTGAATAAGACTATTCCCCCTCTATCTATCTCTCTCTCTCTCTCACTGCAAGAAGAGTTAAAAAGATCGACCTTTTTTATTTCAATGAATACGAAGAAGCATATTCTTATATTTCTCCACATCTTTATCTCTTTATAATAAAGTATCCTGCGTGATCTATTCTAAACGTAAGCTTTCATTGTCTCTCTCACATAGAGTAGTGGCAAGTTCATATTCCAGATAACAATTCGAGAATAGAACCTGAGTACAACAATTGGTAAAGAAACTGTCAAAGTATCAACTATCATACGTCAATCACGCGTCACGGTCATAGAAAGAGCGTAGTAGTCACATTACGTAAGCGTAACATAACTGTCGGTCGTCGTTAAAACACATATAAAACATATTTTCATCCCTCTCACTCATTTAGAATAGACAGAGACAGTAATATGTTTGAATACCAGTGATACGGCATAAGAATTTCACTAAAGAAAATGCCCATAGCAACTTGTGGATTCATGGCGCGTATCCACACAATACCAACGTAATATGGACTGAATTTCTTAGTAACGTAGGAAAGTACGCTCTCAAAGTATTGTCTTTCTCCTATTTATTTGTATTAATATTATACCAGGGCTTCTAAATTAATATCACACATATTATTTAAAGATATGTCAACCAACCTGTACTGGACCAGTGTGGTTGACTGTGGACTAGTTCACTTGGCAGGCTCTGAGCCCCTCGGTGGCAACTTATTTGACGACGACGACACACATTATTGAGAACCAAAATTTATAAAATTACGTATATTTTTTGGTTGTCATCTGTCCTTTTCTAATGTATTTCTATAGATTGAAGTTGTCATACACAATCCTATTTGAAACGCATTGTAAACACGAAAAAATACTAATCAGAGGGCTTAGCACGAATATTTGCGACACGCGCCTACATAGAAGAAAAATTGTATGAGAATTGTCGATATACTTTACGTTCGGTAGAAGCGCTGCACAAAACAAGTTTTGTCGATGACGTTTCGAAAACGTTCACACGAATATTCGTGTTAGGCTCTCTATTATTTAAAATACGGAATTGCTCAGGTAGATTTACTTTCTGGTGAACGACTATCATTAAGTATAAAGAATATATAGAACGAGCAACGATTAAAAAGAAATTAAACTGTTTGTGAACAAGATTTCAAAGTACAAAATGACTGTAATTCGAGTGTTAATAACTAGTTTAACATTAACCAAGGATTGTAAACAATTTTAAAATCCAATCACTTCATGAGACACTATGCTTCAAATTGTCATCATCATTAGCCTTTACGTCCTAACTGAGCGATTCGGAGCCTTTTTTTTCAGAGAGGAATGCTTTATGCATACTCCGCGCCCTGGGGAAGACGTGGTAGTTACGTGGGATTGTCCTCCATAGCGGAGGCATACCCATTAAACCTCTCTGTTCCTCCAACGCATCGGGACGGGGCCACGGGCACGCTTTCGGTCTCGTCCGCGACCCCGTATGACTCGGAGCTTGTCCTAGGTGACCACAGTCACCACGCTGGCTTTCTTCTGTTCCGGCGGTTTGAATTAGGGGACTTTTCTCTTCTATTTATTTATTTATGTATAGAAAAAGAGAACATTTACATTAACTACAACAATAAAATCATTTTATATGTATCTGGTACACTCACGTAATGTTTCAGAAGGTTCTTTATAATTCTAT